ACCAGAGCGAGAGCAAGAGCGAGATCACACCCATCAACGCGCTTCGTCCAGCGGCAGCGCTGCACGGGACCCGCTCGGGAAGAATGTCTCCAATCCAAAGAAGTGTGTTTTTGGTTGTAAGGGAAAGATAACATTGTTCAGCTTCCTAAAGAACCCAGCGTTATGTAAACAGTGGATACAGTTTGTTTTTCCGGGGCAGCAACGGAGTTTCACAAGTGTGTTTTATTGACGAACGTTTTATAAACATGCCCAGTTCGACGCTGGATTTGCACATCGTTTGATACTGAAAGATGGAGCGGTCCCAGCTATAAAAGATCCCAGTCATGATTCAGAACTGCAGACGGTAAGTGAAACGGCATCAAATGTCTGTGTTTTGTTGGCATTCGGCGCCCGAGTGCTCGTCACTCTTTAGCTCCGCCCACGGCCCGCCTCCAGGAGCTCGGCTTTTTCCGGAAAGAATCGTAAAGCTGTATCTTTCTTTTATAAATATGATAAAACTAAAGACTTTTTTGGAGATATGAAGGATGCAGTACTACTCTATAGGTACTCAAGATTAACATGAGATTGGGTGAAACTGTGTGTGTTATGCCCCCTTTAAGATTTTTGTATCATTTATATACTATTATAGATTTGTTAATTTTTTTATTACTTTTTTTTTTTCTTTTTCAAATTTTGTTTTTAGTTTATTTAGTATGTCAAGTTACACTAAACGAAAATAAGAAATAATGACTTGCAGCTAGCTGAAATAAATGTTATTTCTATTTAGTTTGTTAACTATAATAGGCTTCCTCATACTTCATGTATGGGAATCCTGGTTCTTTAGAGACAAAAACAGTTACTGAGGGGGAGAATTAAAGCAAGAAATATCTTGACTAAGTAGTTTCAGTTTATGTTAATGCTTGCTTTGTCTCATCTTGAAGCCCTCTGGTGGAGAAGTGCTGTATTATTAGAGAGAGAGTCTGGCCCACCTCTTTGTGGCAGTCTTTATGGGCCTCCAGGGTTTTCATGATGGTGAGTTCTGCGTAGTTCTTGAAGCGCGCCGGTTGACTGCGCATGATCTCTTTCAGGACGCGCAGAGCCAGCGCTCGGATGGTGTGCTGTGGACGGACACAACCGTTCTTTAGCTGCATCTGTGCTGTTTTTAATTGTTGGACCATGTGACTATCAGGTACAGAATATGAGTGCGTGTCTCTCACGTCTCTGTCTCCCAGCGTCTCCAGCAGCAGCAGCAGCATGGTTTTGAAATGCTCCTCCCACACAGCCAGACTGTCGTCACGCGTGACCTTCAGCAGCTCCAGCAGAGCGGCCCGCCTCTCCTCCACACGCTCGCTGTGATTGGACAGCTCCTTCAGCAGATCACCAATCATCTCCAGGTGCTGCCTGGGTCCTGACCAATCACAGTCAGCAACATTAAACACACAATCTGAACATTTATGCACCGAATCACATCTGAATGAATCACTGAAGCATAATGGAATCATAGAGCTCAGGAAAGGCTTTTAATAGTCAGTGGCCATCAACTTTTCAGCTGCCTTATATTTTAACCAGTCCTTAAAAAGTATTTATAGAAACTAAACCTGAACTGTTTTGAAATGTTCATACATTATCATTGGCAGGGTTTTTAACCCTGACGCTAAACTAAAACTAAAACCATTAAAATAATAATAATAATAATAAAATAAAGTTGTTGTTTTTTTTGTTTTTTGTTTTTTAATTAAAATTATTTTATTTCAGCTTTCGACATTTCTCATTTTTGTTTAGTTTAACTTGAAGTACTAAAATAACTGACACTAAATAAATAATAAATACTATATAGGCATTAAAAAAAAACGACAAAAACACAGCAAAATGACTAAGAATGAAAACAGAAAATAATGAATACATAAAATAAATTAAACCTACATAGTAATATTTAAAACACAAAAACTAATAAAATAACATGACAAAAATACTAAACTTTAAACTAAAATGAAAACAGAAAATACTAAATAAATAAATGGATTAATTAAACCTAAATACCAATATTTAAAACAGAAAAACTAATAAAAACACTACAACAAAATTAATAAAAAATTAAAATGCAAACACAAAATAATAAATAAATAAAAACTTAAATAGTAATATAAAAAATAAAAAAATAATAATAAATATAACATGACAAAAATGCTAAACTTTAAACTAAAATGAAAACAGAAAATAATAAATAAATATAACCTAAATAGTAATATTTAAAACAAAAATACTCATAAAAACAGCACAACAAAATTAATAAAAATACTAAACTAAAATTAAAATTCAAACAAAAAATAATACATAAATATAACCTAAATAGTAATATTTAAAACACAAAATTACTACAAATTAAACAAAAATTAAAAAAAGAAAATGTACTTCAAAATATTAACAAACTCTATAATAGTATATCAGTGATGCTAAAATAACACTTATCTACGGAGATGTTTATTTACAGAAGTTGACTTTTGCTCTTTTCAAACAGTTTAAAACCTCCTCATACCTGCAGAAAAACCTTTCGAATGCATGATTTTGTTTTCTCCGCAGTCCTGTGGATGATCTGAAAGAGAAACCCAAAGACGCTGGCCTGTTTCTGTGAACTTGATAAAGTGATTCTTCCGTTGATGTGTTTATTCATTTACCGTCTCGGATGTGCTCCACGTCGTCAAACACGGCGAGAGCTCCTTTCTCGTAGGCGCTGATGGAGTCGCTGTAGTTGTATGGGTTGTATTCGCGAGCCCACGATCGAGGGGACGGTGTGTTTAATAATGACGTCTTGTTGTCCAGCGCTGTCCGGCCTCCCTCCATCACACCAGCGGACAGACGAGGATCCACACCGGTCTGAAAGAGAAACCTGCTAATTTAGCTTCAACCTGGTGAAAATAACATCTATTCATCAGAAAAAGTAATACACTCCATTGCAACATCATTCATATCCATTCTGGTTATATAAAGGCTGATTTATACTTCTGCGTCGGACCTACGCCGTAGCCTTTACGCCGTAGGCTATGCGTCAGTTTTCATTTATACTTCTGCGTCGTTGTCCGCGTCAACGTGCAGTACACATGCAAACCGCTAGTCTGCAGTGTCCACGGGCATGTTGCTGGTGTAACCCGCAGTACCACGGTAAAAGCCGAAGAAGAAGCGGCTCGTCGGAGAAGCATTATAGCCG